AGACAAAACCAAAAAAAGGAATGCTAGGCAATAACATTTTAACTTGTGGGGAGCCATCGAAAATTCAGGACAAATAGTTTAACTACATGTATAGTAAAATTTACCATTCACGTAATGGGATTTACCAAAAACCAGCAGGCATATGACAGCAGTTACGTTACATAATTGCTTGCCATTGTTTTCTGATTTCTCCTTCATCATTCACCGAATACTAAATATAAACCCTCAAATGTAATAATCTTGTTCCTATTTCACCACGAAGCAGCCACAAAAATGAATAATCCAAATCCCTCTATCAACTTCTTTTCCACAGGTTCACTCCCTCTCTCACTACAAATCCTCTTTCCCACAACCAAAACCCACCAAATCAACAATCTCTACAGAATGGTGATGCGGAGGCGAAGATAATAGCATTTCCAACATTCTTCTTTCCTTTTTCCCATATTTCATCAGCGTCGGTCTTCCTCTCTCCTTTCTCTCACTTTCAGACAGGGCATTTTGGTCTTTTGGCCAAAAATCTGAATTCCAGATTGGTACCCAGTCCCCTATATGTCATTTTGCATATTCAGGTGTCTTATTTGTCTTTTTGAAATTTAGGTGGTATTTTGTTGTCATTTTCCCAAAAATCTTTCACTTGTGTCCTTATTAAAGAGAGCATTAAATATTACTCTTCCAATTCTTAATATAAAACGCATTTAACTAATTTGATTAGATTAAGGAAGTTAGGTAAGTTAGTTAATTATAAAAAATGTGACATTTTTTTTTTCTAAAATACCTTAATCATCTTTCTTAATATCCCCTTCCTCTTCTACTTGATTATGGTTGAGGGAGTATTCATAGGGATAATTCAGAAAAAATTGATAAATATGAGAAATGAGTCTTATATTTAGGATAAAAATCAACTCAATAATTAGGTCCTATATTACAAATAGGAGGAGTAGTATATTTTCTCTCACTCATTTTCTCTATCTTCACCTTTACTATAATTAATAAGGGTATAATTAAAAATGAAATATTAAAAAGAGTACACAAATAAAAAAGATTAGAATTCTTTAATACAAATGATAAATAATAAGAACCATGCAAGGAATTGTTTTGTAGGTTAAAGCAACAGGAGATGAGGGATTGTGAATGGAATGGTGGAGATGCTCTAAGGCAATGCATCTAACGCTGGTAATGCAGCTGCGGATTCTTCAGCAGCGCTTACAATGAAGGGAATGGTATCTCATGGATGGCCTTCAAGGCCACCGTCTCCTCTGAACTCCATCCTACGTACGGATCTAGTTATGTTGTTTTCTGACTCTTGGATTAGATCTGGAATTGGCTGGTTTGTGGTGGCTACTTGTTTTGATTTGTCTTTGGCCCTGAAGGGTGTTTGGACGAAATTATGATTTTAAAAGTAATTTTACAGTATACAAAATAAATAGAAAAAATTGCAATTAAAGACTTTGAAATTTGAAAAATACAGATAGGGATCCATAATAATTTCAATATGGCTTTTGACAATAATAATATGTCATGAAGTTGTCAAAACCCATAGTATTGTCAAAAGTCATAGTGAAATTATCACGAGTCTTTATCTGTGTTTTTCAAATTCTAAGATTTTTTTAATGATTTTTCCAAATAAATATGAAAGAAAAATTTTATTTCGACTGAAAATATTTTTAAAAGTATCTGTGGGAGAAACGCTTCTTAATTTTGTTTTTTGGTGCTGTTGTTTTTGTCTTGTTATCGGTTATTTTCTTAGGTGTTGTAATGTGTTACTTTTTGGAATCAATAAAATTGCATTGTTCAGTTGGGGAAAAAAGAAGAAGCAAAGAACCAGAGGTGTAATCATCAATCAAATCCGCCATCAAGTATTGAGAAAGACAAATTTGTCCAGCTCTCATTTTCCTTCCAATGATGTTATTTTCATATTTTCTGTACTTTTATTTTTCTTAAAAAAAATCGTAGTCCTAAACAAAGACATGTTTAGAGAAAAAATAACTTTCAACATAATTACCCCAAGGATTATTGGTCAGGTCAAGTCAAGTGGTATTACATTTCATACTTCCATTCAATCCAAGGAATTATTTTCATTTTCATCTGGAAGCTATCTAGTTTGAGTTTGATCTATGAAGCTCTAAATCTAGCTAGATTCATTTATTGCTAAAATACTATTATGTTTCTTATTACAAGTCACTTGTATCCTAAACCCGCAAGTCAAGAAATACCTTAAATTAACCAGTTTTTTTTCCATATTTACCCTTATTTAAAAGTTACGAGAGGAGGGGAGGGGATGGATTGCACAAGAAATGAAAAGTTGAGAAGAGACGGAGAGAGATTAATTAATTTTTTATTAAATTAATAGGGGTAAAATTGGAAAAAGATCATTAATTATACTATAAGTGACTTGTATTTTGAAACAAACTTTTGGAGTACAAATGACTTATAATAAAAAACAGAATGATAATAAATAAGATGTTCAATTTGCACTTTGGGTGCATTTCTTTCTGCCGCCAAGATATTTTTTCAAAAAAGAAAACTGACATTCATAAGTATTTGTGTAAGCATTTTTTGAGTATGGAGACATGCTTTAATCTTGTTGAGCCCCCAATTCAAATCATCTAAACTTTTCTTGTATAAAACAAAGTAAACTCTTTATTTTAACTAAATGGCCACTCAATTCAAGTTAGACATTAGTCACAAACTTATACCACTCTGATACTTATTATTTGTCATTTATATGAATTTCTCACGTATCAAGGAAAGTATTAAATAGATAAAATCTTTCACTTTTGCCCTTATTTAAGAGAGCATTAAATATTACTCTTCCAGTCCTTAATATAAGATCCATTTAACTAATTTGATTAGATTAAGGAAGTTAGGTAAGTTAGTTAATTAGAAAAAATGTGACATGTTTTTTCTAAAATATCATAATCATCTTTCTTAATACCTCATTCATCTTTTACTTGATTATAGTTGAGAGAGTATTCATAGGGATAATTTAGAGAAAACTGATAAATATGAGAAATGAGTCTTATATTTAGGATCAAAACCAACTCAATAATTGGGTCCTATATTAAGGACCGGAGGAGTAGTATATTTTCTCTCACTCATTTTCTCTATCTTCACCTTTACTATAATTAATAAGTGTATAATTGAAAATGAAATATTAAAAAGCGTACAAAAATAAAAAAGATTAGAATTCTTTAATACAAATGATAAATAATAAGAACCATGTAAGGAATTGTTTTGTAGGTTAAAGCAACAGGAGATGAAAGATTGTGAATGGAATGGCGGAGATGCTCTAAGGCAATGCATCAAACGCTGGTAATGCAGCTGCGGATTCTTCAGCAGCGCTTACAATGAAGGGAATGGTATCTCATGGATGGCCTTCAAGGCCACCGTCTCCTCTTAACTCTATCCTACGTACGGATCTAGTTATGTTGTTTTCTGACTCTTGGATTAGATCTGGAATTGGCTGGTTTGTGGTGGCTACTTGTTTTGATTTGTCTTTGGCCCTGAAGGGTGTTTGGATGGAATTATGATTTTAAAAATAATTTTACAGTATACAAAATAAATAGAGAAAATTATAATTAAAGACTTTGAAATTTGAAAAACGTAGATAGGGGTTCATGACAATTTTAATATGGCTTTTGATAATAATAATATGTCATAAAGTTGTCAAAACCCATAGTATTGTCAAAAGCTATAGTGAAATTGTCACGAGTCTTTATTTGTGTTTTTCAAATTCTAGGATTTTTTTTTGTGATTTCTTCAAAATAAATATGTAAGAAAAATTTTATTTCGACTGAAAATATTTTTAAAAATATCTCTGGGAGAAACGCTTCTTAATTTTGTTTCTCGGTGCTGTTGTTTTTGTCTTGTTATCGGTTATTTTCTTAGGTTTTGTAATGTGTTACTTTCTGGAATCAATAAAATTGCATTATTCAGTTTGGGAAAAAAAAAAAAAAGACCAGAGTTGTAATCATCAATCAAATCCGCCATCAAGTATTGAGAAAGACAAATTTGTCCAGCTCTCATTTTCCTTCCAATGATGTTATTTTCATATTTTCTGTACTTTTATTTTTCTTAAAAAAAATCGTAGTCCTAAACAAAGACTTGTTTAGAGAAAAAATAACTTTCAACATAATTACCCCAAGGATTATTGGTCAGGTCAAGTCAAGGAGTATTACATTTCATACTTCCATTCAATCCAAGGAATTATTTTCAAGTCAAAAAATGTAATAAATTCTCTTAACAAAATAATGCATAATTAAATTAAGAGATTCATTTTTCTGAAACAAATTATTCCGTGCTTTATTATGTTTTACCCAAGTGTAAATGATAGTTTTAGAAAATGCAGAGTAATTTACCCAAAAAAATGCAGAGTGAATTCTGGTCACACAATACATATTAAATTATTTGTGCTCTTACTATCAAAAAAAAAATTATTTGTGCTCTTATTTTGTCATTTTTTTAAGTCCCATATGAATTTTGAGTAATCTCTACATTCCATAGAAGAGATATATAGTACTACTTTTAGTTCTAACCATAAACGAGATCTTATAATTAATATAGTATATAATATTTTGTCAATCATCTTTTGATCTAAAGCTAATCATATAAATGAGTTAGCTGGCGATAAATATTTAAAGTTTTTTTTTTTCTATCTTTATCATATGTGACTTTCATTTTTTCTACACATTCTCTTTCAATTTTTTTTTTCAAGTCTTTCTCACTTTCATTCACATTTTTTTTCCATAAATAAGTGTGTTCTTAAAAATATAAGTTGTTTTTTTTTTTACATATTTTATATTTACCCAATTCTATGATTTGTTTTTTTTTTATAGAAAAGGGGTGGAGCAGAAAGTTTCTTGTCGAAGAAAAAGGGTCCACCGAACACGACAAATTTAACTGTCATCCCGCGATTGGCAAACTTGCAGCAGCAAAGCACAGAGGAAACCAAGTTCCGCGGAAATGTCTGCTTCACTGATTGGCCTCTCCCGCGTTTCATTTTCCGGGAAAAGTTTCATCTTCTTCCAAACAGTCAATGTTTGTAATTTTCTTGGTCCTCACCAAACCGTGTGTGTGTTGAATGAGAACTTGAAGATTGGGTTTTTTGGTAGTGGGTCTTTCGGGGAAATTTCCTGGACAAGCATTGACTTTTGATTGACTCATCCAAGTCTTCTCTCCTACAACCAGTCTTCAAGTCTGCTTCTTCTCACTTTGCACGTCAATTATGTGCTGCTTCTGAGGCGAAGATCGAGGTAAGCTTTGTTTAACCCAGACTTTGAAATGGACAATAACCTTCTGTTATACGTCTTGGAATTGAATTTTGGGTATTAAAGACGTGAAATTTACGATTTTCTTTCATGGCTTGCCTTAATTTATAAGGACTTCAGAGAACCCAGAAAAACTAAATTGTTCTTTCTTTTTTCTGAGAATGGAAGAGTTTCCGCTTGAACAAAAATGCTGTAGTTAATTGTTCTAGTCTTCAGTACTTCGAATTCTGTTTTGAAGGTTGTTTACGGTGTTTGTTCTTTGATCTTTCAATCATCTTTGATTTTTAAGTGCATGTAGTTTTTTCCCCCAGTTTTATTCCAGTACCTTGTATTTTCTGTTTTTCTCTTTCCTGTTTTCTCATATAGTTCGAGAGTGAGAATCTAATATAGGTTAATATAGTGTGAAAAAAGAAACAATTAAGGGAAATTGATGCTTCCTACTGTAAGCAACGTAATTAAGCTAGGTAGTAGCTACTTATGATTTACAGTCTATAGTCTTCTATCAGATTCACAAAGAATTGAAACTACTGTCACTATAACATGAATTGCTTCTTGAATAAACTTCTCTAGCAGAAGTTTCAGTTGAAGATAACGGTTGTGTTGGATCTTTTCTAGCTGCTTGCTGCATTAAGTAACCTGAACCTCAAAACTACAAGTTAAAATCACAAAACTGTGTTTGATACATATGTTTAGCATGATCTTTATAGCATAAAGATTGGTCTTCTTTGTTGAACTGATGTTGCTTTAGTCTTCCTGTGAAAAAAAAAAAAAAAATCAAATAGGAAACAAGTCCCCCCCTCCAAACACAGGTTTAGTCCTTGCCTTTTTCTTCTTTTAGTAAAAACAGTTTAATGAGCTTCTGTGCAATATTATTTCATGCTCTATCAAAGACTGACATGGAAAAATTTCATTACAGGAAGAAAGAGAAGCAGCTTGCAGATTTATAGTTTCAGCTTCCCACACGTTAACAGCGTCTGGTTTACACAGTTCAAGTAGAAAGGGTTCAGTATAGACATTCAATAATGGTAGGGTTGGAACTCATACCAGTGGGTACAATTCTGGCTGTGCTAACCAATCAGATTATAAAAACAGCTAATGCAGCAGTTGAAGTTCTTGTTGAAAAAGAAACTTTTAAGGTTCTTTCACGACACTTGTACGATATTGAACCAGTTCTAAAGGAACTACAGCTTCAAGAATTGAATGAGTCCCAAGCTGCAAGACATGCTCTGGAGTCTCTTGAAGAAGATGTGAAGAGGGCAAATAAAGTAGTTGAGAAGTATAGGAACCGTGGTCGTTTTTACTTGCTGTTTAAGTGCAGGCACATAGTTCATGAAGTTGAAGAAGTCACAAGAAACATTGGAAAGTCCCTGGCTGTACTATCACTTGCAAATACTGAAGTCTTATCACGAATTTCTGATCAGGTTGATAGATTACAAAATGAGATGCAAAGGGTGGAGTTCGAGGCACCACATTCTCGGCTTCAAATAGTGGAGAGGTTAGACCAGGGCCTTAGGGAGCAGAAATTAGATCAGGCTTTTGCAAATGACATGCTTGAAGCAATTGCAAGGGCAGTTGGCGTGCCGGTAGATCCATCGGTGATAAGCAAAGAGCTGGCCAGCATTAGGAAAGAAAAAGAAGAAGCTGCAGACAGGAAAGAAAGAGCTGAAGTCTTCTTCTTGGAGCAGGTCATTGAATTACTATCCCGAGCTGATGCTGCAAGAGATTATGAAGAAGTTAAGAAACAATACTATGAAAGACTTCAGGTGATAGAAAGATACAATTCAAGGGAAAAATATATACAGCCGCTTAATTCTTTCGTTTGTTGTATAACTGGGACTGTTATGGTAGATCCAGTAAGCCTTTGCACTGGTACTACTTGTGAGAGATATGCCATTGAGGCTTGGTTTGACAGTGGCATGAGGACTGACCCAGAAACTAAAGAAGTACTTGAAGAGACTAAGTTAAGATCTAATGTTCCTCTTAGACAATCCATAGAGGAGTGGAGAGAACTTAATTACTGCCTTACAATCAGGTCTATCAGGGAAGACCTTTTATCAAATTCTAACTTATATGTGATAGAACCCTTGAGGCAAGTGCGGGATCTCATAAGTGACAATTCTATAAACAAGGATTGGATCTCTATAGGAGGGCTCACCGACATTATTATCTCTATCCTTGGGAGCACTGATAATGGAGAAGTGAAGGTCAACATATTGAGTACATTGAATGATGCAGTAGAAGGGCACATGAGAAACAAGGTAAGCAAACTTCTAAATTCATGTGAACAGAGAATATGGTTATATGGTTCTTTTGCTTGATTTAATTAACCACTTCACCTTCTTGAGAATTTAAAATTTATCATTTAAAAATTTGGCGCAGCATTTGTTTGGATAATTTCTTGTACCTATTGTATATGCATCTCACAATCTCACATCATGGATAATCGCATTCATGCTACCAATTTTTTAGATGAAGCTACTTTCATTCATAAGGAAAGTGTGAAACTTTTACCTTTGGGATATATCTGTTCCTGAAATTTTTATTGCTGTTCCTATCATGAATATCATTGTTCTAAAATTTTCATCTTCATACCATTATACAGGAAAAAGTATCAGAATCTCAAGGATGGGATCACATTATTTGTTGCTTGGGCAGCAACTCTAGAATTTCAAAAGCTGCAATTAACTTGCTGTATACGTTACTGCAAGATCGAACTGGTTGGAATGTGTGTCTCTGTAGAAAACTCTCTCAACATCACAGCGCAATTTCTTTCCTTGTTAACCTTCGAAAGGGTCCTGATGAGGAGTCAGCTGAGATTGCAGAAAAGATTTTGATGGAGCTTTTCGACATAGATGAGGTCAACATTTCTAATGCTGCCAAGTTTGGCTGGTATAAACCTCTTGTCGATCGTATGGTTCAAGGTAAGAAATTGTTTGGTGCCTGTAATGTAACACAATTGGTTGTACAATGAACGAAGGAAAACCCATCAGGGTGGGTGTTGTGGGTGGTTGGCTCCATTGACTTTCCCACTTTGATGAATTTTTGTTGACAATCTCCCCTGACTATACAAGAAGTGTAATGAAGAATTTGAATATCATTTATCACCAAATCCTACCTCTAGGATTTTCTTTGGCCACAGTAAAAGAATATTAACTAAAGCTAAAATTAAAGGATTGACCTGTATCTTTTAATGTAATGTCACAATTCTTCCGCAGAAGCTCAGAGTCCAATTCGGACAGTATTTTTTTGCTTCCTTTGATCCTCCGTGTGTTTTTGTACTCTACTCCTAGAAGTAGTTGTCCCTAGTTCATTGATTCAAGTTATTTCTCTGTCTGTCTTCTCAGGAGTAGAATCTTCAAGAATATCAATGGCAAAAACCATTGTGAATATGGAGCTGAGTGATTCAAATTTGAACCTCCTTGGTGAAGAAGGAGTTATACCTTCTTTGCTTGAAATGCTGTCTGGCAATATTGAATCAAAAGAAGTCTCATTATCTGCACTGGTCAAACTATCAGGTTCTCGTGCTAATAAAAGGGTTATAGCTGCAATGGGGGGAGTTCCTATTATTCTAGAACAAATGTTCCCTCCTTCTATGAGAACTCTCATTACCATCAGATGCTCTGAAATCTTGGAGAAGCTTTCTGCTGATGATGATGGAATTGATTTCTTTGTTGACAGAGAAGGGAAACAACTTGAGTTAGATTCCATTATCACCAAATTACTTTCTCTTCAGCAGAGTCCCACCTTAGCCCACAATATCCGCAAGCCCTCTTTGCGTGCACTTCTTGGAATTTGCAAGTTTGAGACTGGTTTAGTCAAGAAGGCTGTTCTGGCTGCCAGTGGTGTATCTCTAATCCTTCCTCTTCTTGATGACTCTGATTCAGAAATCAGACAGACTGCCATAAATCTGCTCTTTCTTTTCTCCCAACATGAGCCAGATGGGGTGGTTGAATACCTCTTCAGGCCAAGGAGGCTGGAGGCTTTGGTGGGATTTCTAGAGACTGATGACAATGATGTGCAGATGGCTGCTGCTGGTTTGCTAGCAAACCTACCAAAATCTGAAAAAGAGCTTACTACAAAGCTGATTGAATTGGGTGGACTTGATGCAATCATATGCATTTTGAAAACGGGAACAATGGAAGCAAAAGAAAATGCTCTCAGTGCACTCTTCAGGTTCACAGATCCCACAAACATTGAGTCACAGCGCGATTTGGTTAAGCGTGGAATATATCCTTTGCTTGTGAATTTTCTCAACACTGGTTCAATAACAGCAAAGGCTAGAGCAGCAGCCTTCATAGGAGATCTTTCTATGAGCACCCCAATGCTCACACTTTCAGCCAAATCAACGGGCTGCTGGTGTTTTAGATCATCAAGAGTTCCATTATGCCCAGCACATGGTAGTGTATGCAATGTGAACAACACGTTTTGTCTCTTGCAAGCACAAGCTTTGCCTGGTTTGGTAAAACTCTTACGTGGGGAGGTTGATGTCACTGCTTATGAAGCAATACAGACACTTTCAACATTGGTTTTGGAAGATTGTCCTCAAAGGGGAGCTCGTGTTTTGCACGAATCAAATGCCATAATACCCCTTCTGGATATTCTGACATGGGGGTCTGATTCTCTCAAGTCTGAGGCTCTAGGACTCTTGGAGAAGGTCTTTGTATCAAAGGAAATTGTGGAATTCCACGGCGTAACAGCTAGATCACGTTTGGTTGGTTTAACAGGGATGAATATATATGGGGATGGCCATCTCAGAAGAAAAGCTGCCAAGGTATTGTCATTGATTGAACGGTATTCAAGGTCATCATCTGCTGCTGTTTCAGGAGTTCTGGAGTGAAATTTTAGGCCTTAAACAAATGTGGCTTCATCCTATTACGTGCATGCTTTGTTAATTCATTTTGTAATTGTTAATAAACATAGTTATATACTTCTTGTTCAGCTTCTTTATATCTTGAATGTTGATCAAATGGCAGAACAACTCTACAGTATAAGTTCCGGAATCTATTCTGAGTTGATTGTGACATCCCTATATGTTGTCACTGTAAAGGATCATCAACAAGGCATTCTAGTGTGTCATAGATTCTTATCTAAGACTTAATCATTTGATGATACCATGTTTAGTAAATAATCCTCTTGGAAATTTTGATTTAGAATTATGAGTTCAATACATTCAGTCTAGAACAAATTTCTCGGTATACGTTGTTAGACGATCACTGTATCACGCACTTTTAGCTTTAGTTTAAAGATCTGTTTCGCCTATTAAAAATATTTAAAACACATTTTAATTTATTGATTGCATTGGATTTCACAGCAAGCCATTTGCTAGCTCTCCACATTCTCTAGTTTCTTCTGTAGACAGTGATGACACACTGATACGATCACATGATGTTTGGGCTTGTAGCTTTCCCTATATTAAGAAAGCAGAGAGTGCATGTTTCGTGCCTGTTAGATTTATAATAAGGAGTGCATGTTTCATGCCTGTTAGATTTATAATAAGGACTAAGTTTTATGTTGTGGTTCTGTCAAAGATCCCTGTTAGATTTCTTACTATACTAGTTTTATTGTTAAAATCGTATAGTTATTATTTCATGATTCGTAGGTTTCATCGTTATAGAATTGATAGAGTAATCATTTCAAACAATACTATAAGTCAAATGCTTGAATCTTTGTGAGCCACTTGTATGAATTATTTCAAACTAAATCCAAGACTAATTTAACCATTCGTTAATAATTCAAATTTTAATTAAAACCATGGGTTTATCTCCATTATTTGTGCCAAATTTTACTGCTTCCTAAGATGAACTCATTCATAGGTTCTTTGGAACTAAAGGGAGAGTTGGCTCGTTAAAAATCATCCTATATGGGTCACCCAAAAAAAAAAAAATCATCTGATGGGAATTCCGCAAATTTTAAAAACTAAAATGGGCATAGATTAAAAGAGAGATAAAGCTTGATAAAGTCCTAGTGAATTCAAATCCAGAAACAGGCCCGTTTTGTAGGATTGAGAGTAAGGGCTCAAAACTGAACTCTCCAAAAATATAGAGAGGCCCTAAATAAAAGTATAATATATTAATCTCCCTTATTCCTAAGAGAGAAAATCCTGAATTAGTTAGTCATTTTAGACCTATCTCTCTTTGTTCTGTTCATTACAAATGTATTACTAAAGTGATTACTCACCGTTTGAAGAATCTCATGGATGATCTTATTTCTCCCTTTCAAGCCAGCTTTATTAGTGGGAGACATATTCAAGATAACATTGTTGTGGGCCAAGAGCTCATCCATACTATGAAGAAAGCTAGAGGTAAAAAGGGTTTTATGTCACTAAAAATTGATTTAGAGAAAGCTTACGATCGGATTAATTGGGACTTCTTACAGCAAGTGCTTCTTGAGACAGGAATGGATGGTAAATTTATCAACTTAATTATGAGTTGTATCTCTTCTGTCTCATATAATGTGTTGTGGAATGGTTCTCAAACTGAATACTTTGTCCCAAAAGGGGACTTAGACAAGGTGATCCAATTTCACCGTTTCTATTTGTGCTCTGTATGGACAAATTATCCCATATTATATGTGATGCAGTGGCAGCAGAAAAATGGAAACCTATTTTAGTTACAAAAGAGGGACCTGCAGTTTCTCATTTGATGTTTGCCGATGACCTTCTTTTGTTTGGAGAAGCTTCTGAGAAACAGGCTGATTGTATGATGAGATGTTTGGATTTTTTTTGCAAAGCTTCTGGAGAAAAAGTGAACAAAAACAAATCCTCTATCTTCTTCTCCCCAAGGGTTTCGACAGATTTGAAGAGGAAAATCCATGATATCACAGATATGAAAGTCTCTGACGAGATTGGTAAATACTTAGGTTTCCCTCTTACCAGAAAAAGGAAGCCTAAAGAGACCTTTTAGTATATTGTTGATAAGGTTAAATCTAAACTTGCAAATTGGAAAGCTACTTGTCTTTCAATAGCTGGAAGGATCACCCTAGCAAAATCGGTACTTAGTACAGTGCCTCTTTATCCAATGCAAGTAGCAAGAATACCTGTGAGTATTTGTAACGAAATTGAGAAATTACAAAGGAACTTCATATGGGGGAAAAGTGAGAATGGTTCTGGTTTTCATCCAATAAATTGGGGTCAGATTATTCTTCCTAGGTGTTATGGTGGGCTTGGTTTTAAAAGACTTTCCTCTATAAACAGAGCTTGTGGAGCAAAATTGGCTTGGAACCTTCTTACTGGATCCAAGGGATTGTGGGCTGATGTTTTATACAAAAAGTATATGATGAGAAATGATGTTAATCTTTTGCATTCTCAATCTTCTGATTCTGACTTGTGGCGTTTTATATGCCAGCAACGTGATGTTATTGAAAAAGGTACCAAATGGCAAATCAGGAATGGTGAATTTGTGAATTTCTTCAATGATATTTGGCTTCTTAAAGGGAAAAGGATTAAAGATATGTGTCTCAGGACTCTTACGAGAGAAGAGGAAAATAGTACTGTTGCTGAATGGGTTACTCATGGAACCTGGGATTTTTCTAAACTTGCTGAAGTTGTGAAAAGTGAGGTTATTCATCGGCTTATTTCCTTGCTACCACCCTTACCTAATGTTGGAGGTGATATTATGACCTGGAGTGCTACTTCCCATGGCAATTTTACAATCAAAAGTTGCTACTTTTTGATTGAAAAATGCCCACAGCATATGTATAACCAAGTTTATAAGGCTATTTGGAAATGGAAGGGAGCTGAAAGAATTCGCGTCTTTATGTGGATCACTTTCAACAATAGACTTCCAACAAATGTTTGGCGAAGCAAATGGAGTCAAACTTCTCCTTTATGTACCTATTGCAACTCTGGATTGGAAGATGTACATCACATTCTTCGTGATTGTATCTATGCAAAGCGTCTCTGGATGAAAATCTTAAATCCCAGGTATATTTCCCAATTCTTTAATGCTTCTTTGCGTGACTGGATGGCTTTAAATTTGAAAAGAGAATTGGGAAATAGTTTGCCTGTTTGTTGGAACCAAATTTGGGGCGTGTCCATATGGAGGCTTTGGAGCTGGAGGAATTGTTCTATTTTTAATGATGATTTCCAAAGGCCAACAAATCCTGCGGATATGATTTTGAAATCTTGGAAATCCTTTGTAGAAGCTACTGATTTAGCTTCAGTTGGTAGCTTATCTGCTACTAATGAGGTAGCAACTTGGGAACCACCTCCGGCTGATTGGATTAAAATCAATGTTGATGGTGCTGTGTCTTCAACTAGACATGTAGCTGGATGTGGGGGTGTCTTTAGAAATCACAATGGTGAATGGATAACAGGTTTTACACATGGATTAGGAATATGTGATGCTTTAGAAGCTGAGGAATGGGCAATACTTAAAGGTCTCTCTATAGCTTGGGAGAGGGGATTGAAGAAAATAATTATTGAATCTGACTCCAAAACATTAATTGACATGCTATTGAGCAATTCTATATCTGGCTCTTGTAGCTTGGTGTTTGTGCAGATCAGGGACATGAAGACTCTTGATTGGGACTTGCAGTTGAGATACATCTCTAGAGACAAAAACTCTCTTGCTGATGCGTTATCAAAGGAAAGCCTCTCTTATTCAGCTATCTTAGATCGATGTCTGCAACATTTACGGACAATTATGGAACAAGATTTACTGGGATTTAATCCCCTTCTGTTTTAATTTTTAGTTGGGCTTTGCCCTCGTTGTTACCAAAAAAAAAAGTATAATATAATGGAAAGAAAAAAGATAACTATTGTTTAGCATACAAATAACGCACCATAAAACTATGATACATAATGTAAAATCTAGCTAGGACTTAACATTCTAATTCAAAAAATTCCCTAAGAAAAGGGTGTGCTCTTAATTAATTTAGAAAGGGAAAAGAGTGCGTAATGAATAATATTTGTGAATAATGAGACAATTTTAAAGATAGCAACTTTTTTTTTTATTTGTGTATAGTGGATATATTTTTCTTATTCTTCATTTTTTTTCAAAGTAATATGTTTCAAAATGCAAAGCAATTTAATGAATTCTGAGGGCAATTAATTTTTTTTTTTCTAAAATAGCTCTAGAAGTATATTAAAATTAACTTCCTTTTATTATTTTGCTTCACTAATATGGTCCATCCCCCATACATTGAAATAATTAATTATTGAAATTAATGAAGGGTGAAATGGGAAAATTTTTGAGATCTTAACTACGCTCTCCTTCCCTAAATTAAATATAATACCTAATTTTTTTAAGCTCTTGTATCCTTGTTAATAATACTCCTACTTTGTTCGAAATTCTAGAATGTTGTCCAACCAAAACAATGGGAAATTATAGAATGTTTCATGAAATATTTTCACATGTATCCGTATTTAATGATTCTTCATCAACTCCTAATAACTAAATTAATCATCATAAAACATTTAATTAAAGGATAAATTTTGAAAAGAAGGAAAAAGCATTTACATATAATTAATTTTCTTAATATCCATCATTTTAACACCTAGCTATTATATTTATAAATGGATGACATATTTCACTTTTTCTCTTCATAGATGTGTATTAGATAAAAATGCATAAACTTTGATTTTTTTTCCCAATTGAACAATGTAAAAAAAAATAGAATGAGGGAGTTAAAAAAAGTGGAAGGGTACTAATTATTTTTAATGCTCCTAAGCTTCAAAATAAAGTAATTTATTATAAATTATAAATTAAAAACAAAAAGTAGAGACGCGCTAATGTCCTGAATTTAATTTTAATGATTCTCACCAAAGGCAGCTAGCAGTAACATGCATGCAATTATATAATCAAAACCAAAAGAGTGATAATCTTTTATGTTATGTAAATGATTATATTTTTACTTATGAAAATGTAATTAAATTACAAGGATAAAAAATTATAATTTTCTTATATTTTAATGGTATTTTTTTAATTCCTCATCACATTATTCTTATTTCTTTCTTTTTACAATTGTTTTGATAGCCTAGCAAACGAAATAAAAACAAAAATTTAATTTTAATTAACTTAGGTTGACAACATGAATAATACAAGAGCTTTCATTATCTAAGTAAATTGTTAAATGCTTGATTATATTTACAATCTTTGTATGCATAATAAATATAATTGACAAGTAATGTTTATATTTGCTTCCAATATTTTGAAAGAGATTTTTTTT